CATAACACACATACATATGTAAATCTCATCCGCTCTGTTAATTGCATACTCCTCTTTACTTATATTCTTTTAAACTCTGTACAAAAACGGTCTTCATTCGCGCAACACCTACATATTTTGTCTCGAATCTAATTAACTCCGCCTAAACAGTGTCCACAGACTCGGCATTAAATTAAAAAATTATTAGCTGCTGCGCCGAACAATCATATTTGGGATAACCAATTAATTAAAAGGCTTTAATATAATTTTTTGTGACAGTTTGCTGTGTATACTTAAGAGAGTGAAAGAAGAGTCTGCACTAGTTACAATTGCCATTTTTGAATTCAAAAAAGATTCGTATAAGTCTTATAAATAAAATAGGGGATATGATTCTTAACAATCCAGCCACATCGCTGGTTTATAAAAATTTTGGATTGTTTTCTTAGTTGATTAAACATCTTAGTTTAACTTCCAATCTCTAATCGCTCTTCTTCTTCTTCGGGCATTTTATTTTCGGTGACTGATCGGAGGAAAGGAGGGAGTCACGAGTAGCAATTCTGCCTGCGAGTGCACTTAGAGGGCAACAATATGCCGCTCGCAGTTGGCTGACCAGTTGGTAACTGTTCTGCACGTCATTCATCAGTCTCGAACAGTCTCTACTGTATAAAGTATAAATCTGATTTGAGCTTGCTTTTATTTTTCGTGACGTCATCTCCCGCGGCGATTGCAAATGTATGCAGATTTTTTCATGGCATCATTTGGGAACGTCACCGGGTGCAATGCACTCGCTTTAAGTGTGTGAGTGTATGCATGTGCGTGAGTGTATGCGTGTGTTTGTGTGCCTTGTTTATTTCTTGGCAAATACAGCTATAAGAAAACGTGGCCAAGTAGCCTTTGCAGCTCAAAGCCAAAGCCAAAACAATAAAAGAGCCAATGACTTGGCCACTTTGTAGCCCTCGTTGTTGTTGTTGCTGCTGCTGCTGCTCTTGCTGTTGTTGTTATTGTTTCTGTTGTTACTGATGCTTGTCTGGTACAGAAAGTTCTGTTGAGCTCGGAGCTAATGGCCCATTTAAGCTGCAATCCGGCTACTGCCGTTTGCGTGCATGTAATTATAATTCTTACTATTACTATATAAGTCCCAAAAAATATAAAACATTTTTGATTTCTAGCAATTTTTGCTTTTGTCATGTATTTTCGGCTTGGTGCAACGACACAGTTGGTCACACTGCGGCCATTTATAAAACGGGCCAGACTCTCGTAGAAAACTAAGTCAAAAGCAACAGAAAGGGGGAAAAGAGTCAGAGAGGGAGAGAGAGACTTAATGGGGACAGGACAAAGGACCCGTTCGCTTCCTGTGCAACTTTTTCTATAGAACTCACAGTTTCCACGCAATTAGCTGGAAACAAATGTGTTAAACAATGACAACGACAACCACATTGAATATGAGAACAAGAAATAGATATATGTATTTATTCATGAACAAAACTTGTCAATTACAATGGGCGGGCGCATAGACTGCGGCGCAGGGTATGGCGAAAAGGCGACAATATGTACTGTAAGCTGGTCAAACAAAAACAGCGAAACAGATAGCGAGACAAAGCGATAGACAGAAAGAGAGAGAGAGAGAGAGAGAGAGAGATGATGCCGGGCACTTGGGAGCTGACATTGTAAATGTTGTGCAAATGTCAAAAAGCGCATTATGACATAGGGACACAAAAAGCAATTTTATGCACCCATTGAACCCAACAGCAACAGCAACAATAGACCTGAGACAAGCTCAAACGCTGTCAGCTGACTCAATAATTTTAACAAGCTTCGCCTACACACGAGCTGAGCAGCTAAGCGAGTACCACTGCAGTGGTACGTGCCACGAGGGGGCACGGAGCGTATGGGTGATTTCGTATTGCTCATACGACGCGTGTGCATTGTCAAACATATATGACGTCCGTACGTCCTCTATCTGCTTCGCTCTAGCAACGGGCCACGACGTCGCGTGTCGTCATCATAGCCATTTGTCAGGGCAACCGAGTGGATGACCACTGACAACGCCCCTTCGAGTAGGCGGTATTAGCAAGAGGGCATACACAGTGGCTGTCAAATGTCAACAATCCAACAGAAAGTCCAACCGGCGCCTAATTATATTGCGTGGAAAGTGAAAACTATTTTTGATCCGTTTATCATATAATCTTTTCAAAATTTAGTAAAAAAATTTATTAGAAAATTGGGAAAAGCTAAATATTGTAATTATAAATCAATCAAAAGTTATATCCGGGCTGAAAATATTAATATTAAAATTGTAGAGCTAATCTAGAGCTTTAGCAGCTTATTTTGCTAGCTTCATTTAAATTGTTTTAGAAATATGATTCAGAACTAAGCTGTGCTCAGTATGAGAATGGTCTAACAGATTCTGGTTACATAAATAGCTCGAATTATATATGTATTTATGGAGAACGTGAAGAATTCAACAGATAGGGGTTAAGGAATAACTCCTTTAATTAATATATAATGTGTATGTCTATTGACTATAAATTGCAGCATCTTTTTGTTTGTGGTTTCTGTAGCAAACCTTAACAGGCTTTTCTCTATAAAAGGGTATCCGCACTTCGTGTTTTTGGCTTTGTTTGCTGCTGTCATTTGTGATTGTTGTTTCAGACTCGTGACGTTTGCCAATTTGAGCGGACAGCCGAGTAAACTGAAAGTAAAATCGATTCAATGACTGCCTGTTGCTACTGTTGACTTTATTGGTGCTGTTGTTGCTGTTGCTGTTGTTGTTGCTGATGCTTCTGTAGTTGCTTGTGCTCGTCCCTGTTGCTTAACAAGTTTAACTTTTAATTAAATTTGCCGCCCATCTTTGCAGGACCCAAGCTCCAAGCCCCAAGCCCCAAGCCCCAGGCCCCGAGCTGTTACCCATCCATATCATTGGCCAGTAAATAGCAACAAAGCCAACAACGAGACCTTCCTCCTCAATAGTGTTTGCTGCTTTAGTGGCAATCTCTTGACTATTGTTTGCATTGTTGTTGTTGTTGTTCTCCTTGAATTCATGGTATCATGGTTTTGTTAAAAGGCATGTACATAGGAGGAGTGCCAAATCGCACTGAATTTAGATAATGATTAACTCCATACATACATATACACATACTGTATATATATGTGATAGTGTGTGTTTCTAGTCGAACATTCCCTGAGTCGCTATTGTAGTTGCATCATTATCAGAATAACAAATGTTAATAAATAATAAAAGAAAATATGTACAATAAGCTATTTGATACTGAAAATATATTTAAAATTAGGAAATAAAATATGATGAACATAACATATAATATAAGTATAATACATTCTATTAAACATTAAAATACGTTTTTTTTCCATTTGCAAATGTGAGTAAAGTTGTACTTTAATCACCAAACACGAAATGATAAATTATCAATTTAATGAAATACAAATACCAGTAACGCAATCATATTGGTGGCGAAAAATAAATTGTTTTCCTTACATGTATTCGTCATTAGTATTATTATTTAGTTGTAGTTGTTGCTTGTAAACGGCGTTGTTTGTTCATTCGTTGTTTCAATTTAAATTTTTGTTTTTTGTTAGTTTGCAATAGAAAATTAAATAGATTTTATAGTAGTTGTTGCATTAGAAGGTTTAGAGACTTTCATTTTCATTATTTAGCACAATTTGTATTTAGTTTAATAGAAAAGCGAAGCGTATATACAGTAAAATGATTTAAGTTATTCACAAAAGATGCGCTGGTTTAGCTATTTGTTGTATTTTGAATGCACTTGAATCGTAAATGTTTGAACTGCAAGTGTAGATATAATTATTGATTATTACGATTTTATTTTCGTTTGGTTTTCGTTATACACATATGATATAATTAAGCTAAACATTTGTCTAATTTCACGCGAATCGAACCTCTCGAGCTTCGGTGGCCATCTGTTTAGCCAAAGCTGAGAGCTATAATTATGTTGCACTGACTGCAAGCAGCGCGCGCACACACACACACACACAACAACAACAAAAATAATGGGACATTTTGCGTAAATACTGGGTAGCCAAGAGGACAATGGAAGCAGAGGCAGCTGGCAGCTGGTAGCGAGCAGAGACAAGGCAGAGGTAATAGGCCACACGCACATTCAACTTGATGCACTCTCTGCCCACTGTCCAGCTGCAACTTGTTGTAGTCCTTTTTTTACACACAAGCCAAAGCAATTTGTCATTAGACGGCAATTAATTGTGTGCGTATGTTAGTGCTTAGTGCTTGTGGATGTGTGTGTGCCAGTGTGTGTGCCAGTGTGCGTAAAGCAGAGAGCTGCCAACAGTTTTGTGCTCTGCACTTTGGCAGTTAACCGTTAACATTTGCGATGCGCATTGTTGTTGGCTTTGCGCTCATGGGGTATTTGTTGTTGCTCTTGCGTTGCCACTGCTTTTGCTGTTGTTGTTGCTGTGTGTGGTGAACTTATCACAGCGAGGGAGCGAGCGAGTCAGTGGCCAAACTGAGTGACTGCTGCCTCGACTCAATAAAGCACGCACTCGCACACGGACACTAGCGCACACACACGCTTAATTGCTTTACAGTTGTATTTCCTTTTTTTGCGCACTGCTTTGCTTTGATTCTTATTTACTTTGAATTTATTGAATTATCAAATTTTCAAGTGATAAATATCGTTAATTCGAAAACCGTTAGTAGAGTTATTAAGCGTCGGTCTATAGCTGCGTGAGTGTGTGTGTGTGTGTCCTGGGGCGCAGGCGAGGCGTAAGGCAAGACACGACGAGATCACGGCCACAAAAACGACAGCGACAACGAAAACGTGGAGAGATTATTGGGTTGGGGTTTTTTTTTTCACTTTTTTCTTCTTATGTTTTTCGGTGCAGGCAGTGGCGCGAGGAGAGGCGCTGATTCGGGTTGCGTGTTGTGTGTACAGAAAAAAGCACGAAACAAAGCAAAAAAATAAAATGTATATACATATATATTTACATATATACATACATACATATATGAATGTATGTATAGAGATATGTAGCAAAGGGAACGGGAACTAAAAATTAATTTAGCACACACACAATTCACGTAGTTTTTAAAAAAAATTTTTTCAAACACAATCCGTATATAATTATTTTATATATATAAATTATGTATATAGATATTGCAGATATGACAGCGTGCATTCCATATGCGCAATTCTTTTTCGCCAATATTTCGGTAATGAATTACTTTTATATATTTTTGCTCTGCTTTTATTCTCTGTATTTTTTTTATCAACTATTACGGTTACGGTTATTATTATTGTTATTTTAGTTGCTGTTATTGTTGTGTTTGTTGTTGTACAATGAGCGCGACTGCGGCTGCTGCTGGTGCTGCTGGCTGAAGCTGCTGCCTGCTGCCTGCTCCTGCTGTTGCTGCGACTACAACAACGACGACGACGGCAACGACATCACGACACGACAACGACTGAAACTGAAACTGAAGCCAACAGCAGCGTCTGAGCTTTTCAAGTGTCGAGTCGACAGGCGGCGCCACAGTGCCTCCCACTAGTCATCGCGAAGGAGAGACAGAGAAAGGGAGAAGGACAGAGCCCGAGAACGAGAGTGCGAACAGGAATGTAGCAGTTGCTGCCATTGTCGTCAGCGTTTGCCTCTTGCTCCTCACTCGACAGACCAACCGACCCACCTACCTACCAACTTACCTCCCTCGCTCCGACTCTCTCACTCTCTCTCTCTCTATCTCTTTGATACGCTCTCGTCGTGGTGAATAAGCCAAGGGAGTTATTAGCCGTGCTGAAATGTGGGGACAGAGCGCAAAGGCAGGATAGGGTACAGTTAGTGTGCTGATTCTGTTATGAGTGCCATTTCATATTTCATGTGCTATTTTAACACCTACTACAAACTGAACACGATAATAAATGTAGGCATGTGTATGCATCAGATTAAGTATGCGTTCTCCTCTCCCTCTCTCTCCCTATCTATGTCTTTATCTTTATCAATTCCCCGCTAGTCTTGCTTCCAAATATTAACAAACGTGATATTGCATATTCATAAAGTTCGTGTGTATATCGTCCCATGTTGTTGTTGTTGCTCCCGCTTTACCGCAATGTCTGTTTGATAGCGATCCTAGTTTGATGTCTGATAAGTCTCGGGTTTCATTTCACTACAAATTATTTTGAATTAGAGCCGCTGTGATAATTTTTATATCTGAATGATCGAGATTGTTAACTATATTCCACATGATAAAAATTCCACGTGATGCATTGTTATTAAAGCATATTTTCTATGTTGTCACGAGAGTATTCCTATTTTGAAACAAGTACATGTACTTTTGATATTCTTATTTCGTCAAATTTTTATTTGCTTTCTATATAATAATAATTTGTATAAATAAGTACAAGCACTGTAATTTTCAACGGACATCTTCCAGCTCCTTAACGGTAGAAGACTTTATATCGTAACTTTGTTTACTTTTAACCACTTCCATACGCCACTTCTTTTCAAACCTAAACTTAACTCTCCCGATACTTTTCTTCGTCTTCTGCTCTATCTCATCGATACTGACCATATACTGAACAGTGGTCAGTGGCAGTAACTATCAATTTTTATACCCTGAACCCATTGAAAATGGGAAATTAGGGTATAATAGTTTTGTTGAAATGTATGTAACAGGCAGAAGGAGGCGTGGCAGA